TTGAAAATCTACAAGAAATGGATACAGTTTTAGAAAAGCACAACCTACCCTAAACTAAGAGAGAATGAAGCAGAATATTCAAACAGACCTATAACAAAAGAACAAATTGAGCAGGTCATTAAAAACTGACCAACTACCAAAAGCCCAGGCCTAGATGGATTTACTGTTGAATTCTACTAAACATTCAGATTAGAGCTGACACTAATTCTACTCAAACTCTTCCAGAACATAAAAAAGGATAGAAAACTTCTAAATATATTTAATGAAGTGAGCATAATACTCATATAAAAGTCAGGCAAAGACATTACTAAAAAAAAAAATTATAGACCAGTATCCCTCATGAAGGTACTGGTGTGGGGTTGTAGGATAAGCATTGGGGTGCTAGCAAAAAGTTCAGTGGTTCAAACCCACTAACTGCACCTTGGGAACCCTATACAGGGTTGCTATGAATCAGAACTTACGTGACAACACTTAAAAACAACAACATCCCTCATAAACATAGATGCAAAAATTCTCATTAAAATCTAAATCAATAGAATTCAAGCAAAAATAATAATAATACATCATGATAAAGTGGGATTTATACCAGGGAGGCAGGGATGGTTCAATATTAGAAAAATAATCAATATAATCTGTCACATAAATAAAACAAAGGAAAATAATTACATGATCATATCAACTGATGCAGAAAAAACATCTGACAAAACACAACATCCATTCCTAACAAACACTCAACCAAATAGAAACAGAAGGGAACTGACTCAACATAATTAAGAGCATATATACAAATCCAACCACCAACATTACTTTCAATGGAGGAAACTGAAAGCATTCACTTTGTGAACAGGAAGCAGACAAGCATGTCCTTTATCACCACTCCTATTGAATATTGTGTTGTAAGTCTTAACCAGAGCAATAAGGCAAGAAAGGGAAATTATAGGCATCCAAATTGGCAAAACACTCGCTATCTGCAGATGATAGGATCCGATAACAGAAAACACCAAACACTGAGTAAGAAAATTATTGGAAATCATTGAAAGATTCAGCAAAGGACAGGCTACAAGATCAATATAGAAATATCAGTTGGATTTCTCTAATAAAAACAGGAGCTCTGGCAGCATAGTGGTTATGAATTGGGCTGCTAATCTCATGGTCAGTAGTTTGAAACTACCAGCTGTTCCACGGGAGAAAGATGAGGCATTCTGCTTCCCTAAAGATTTACAGACTTGGAAACCCTATGCAGGGTTGCTATGAGTCGTAACCAACAACAACACTAATAAAGAAAGCTCTGAAAAGGAAATTAGGAAAACAATAGCATTTGCAATAGCCACTCAAAATAATATGTAGGAATAAATATAACCAGAGAAAGAAAAGACCTATACAAAGAAAGCCACAAAACACTACTACAAGAGACTTACAAAAATGGAAGACTATACCATGCTCATGGATAGGAAGAATTATCAATAGATACAATGCAATCCCAGTCCAGATTCCATCATCATTCTTTAAAGAGGTGGAAAACCTGATACCTAAGGTTATATGTAGAGGACAGAGACCTCGGATAAGCACAGCATTGCTTAAGAAGAAGAAAGTTGGAGACCACTCACTCTCAGGTCTCAAAATCTCTTACACAGCCACTGTGGTCAAAACAACCTGGAACTGATACAACAAAAGATCCATGGACTAGAATTGAGAATCCAGAAGTAAATCCATTCACAGAGTCAGCTGATCTTTGATGAAAGGCCAAATAACATTAAATGGGGAAGAGGCAGTCTCTTCAACAAATGGTGCTGGAAAAACTGGGAATCCATTTGCCAACGAATGAAACAAGACCCATATCTCACACCATATACAAAAACAATCTTGACAAGTATTGTTGTTGTTGTAGATGTCAGGTACCATCGAGTCGGAACCGACTCATAGCGACCCCATGCAC